AAAAAAAAAAAAAAAAGATGTAGTTCAAGGAAGCTAAGGCTTTCCCTGAACCTGAAACTACAAATGTAAGTGTTCTTACTTTAAGGAGGAAGCAATTACTAACTGAAAGACATGCTGCCATAGGATAAGATTTTTTAATTCTAGGCTTGGGTAAGAACAGAGACCTTCTTCTCCACCTCAGCAGATATCCATACATACAGGTACCAACTCACTTGTTTTGATAGCTCATGGCTGTTTACCCAGTTGGAGGTCCCCAGTGGTCTCCTTAACATCTTCCTGGAAATGTGCATTTCCCAAAATGTAATTTTTCTCATCACCTTTCTGAGGGATACTACATCCAAATCAGTTTCAGATTGGGATTTTTTTTTCAGGTCTTTTTTTTTTTTTTTTTTTTGGCAGTTTTTGGCCAGAGCTGGGCTTGAACCCACGACCTCCAGCATATGGGGCCAGTGCCCTACTCCTTTGAGCCATAGGCGCTGCCCAGATTGGGATTTTTTTTTTTTTTTTTTTGTAAAGGTTCCTCTGTCACAACCAATGAGGAATACTCAGCTTCTGAGACTTAAGGCAGTATGAGAAAGACCATTTTCTCTGCAGTTTCTTCAACCAGGAGCTTCAGTACTAACTGACACAACAGAAGGTTTCCCACTCTAAAAAAGGAAGACCTTTACCCATAGAATGAGAAGACTCATTACCCATTACCCAAAGGATATTCGACAGCCTTCCTACTTTAGCAACTGTGTTCTCTGCTGCAAGGGAGACTTAAATTAGGTACAGTGAAGAACTCTAACAGCTGCAATAACTGCTAGCACCCAAAATGGGTAAGACAAGAGCTCATGTAATCCCTTTTGTCCAAAGTCTTTAAAAATAGACCAGATAATCATGGATCATTTTTATTAGATAATCCATGAACTCACTTGAAAGCAGGGACAAGAATTGTATGAATTCTGGAGAGTCTTTTATGCACTGTGAGCTCATAAATTTGTAATTCCTAGTTTTAATTTATATGTGATGACCCTGAACTAAGCACTGCAAAACTGCTAAGGCCAATTACCAACAAGCAGTCTTCACATCCAACTATAAAGCATCCGAAGTCAAGAACACATCCCACACCATAAAAATAGCCTCATCCCAAACCCAGCAGGCATAGAATGAAGGAAATAACTGCAAACATGCTTGAAGCTCCCTCTGAGATTCATCTACAAGATCTCAGAATACTCCTTCTTTCAGATGTCAGAAGAGAAAGACACCATCCTTACCTGTGAATAGGGGGCTGAAGGAGACCGGAGAAAAGGCACTTTGAGTTCTTGTCAACCTGGGTTTCCTAGGGGGTGAGAAGGCACACAGCATAAAGGGGAGAAATGAACATGTATGTACTTGAATCACCATAACACTCAGTTCCAGATGCAAGGAAAAACAAAGCAAATCCTAGTCATTGTCAGAAACACTCTTACAATAAAGCCTAAAATTTAAAGGGGAGAACAAGATAATTAAGGCAATTCCCTAAATAGATTTGGCTATGGAATCCACCAGCCTACAAAGCAATGAGAAATCCCTTTGGACCTCTCCCTACTCAGTACATTAAAAGAGTAAAACACCTTGAGTGGTAATTAGCAAGTCCATTTCAAGAGGAAGGAAGTCAGATAGAGTTGATTTTCATTAGGGAGCAAAGAAAAAGGCTCTTGACCTGAACAGGCGCCAGCTTAGAGTATCAGTTTTCCCTCTGGACCTGCCTCTAGGATTAGGAGGTCCCAGGGAACATATTCCAACCTGAGAACAGCACTGCAGGATGCACATGCAAACTTCAACCTCAACCTTACTGAGCTGCCAGTTACACAGTTTTCCCCATGACTTCTCCTCAGTGCTATTCCAAGGAACCAGTTTGAAAACTCAGATTTTTTGGTTAACAAACCAAAGGTAGCTTTACATTGTGTCATTTTCAACTGGCTTTTCAGAGGGAAATGAAAGAAATTCAAAGCTCTTAAATCCCAGCTACTCAGGATGCTAAGGTGGGAAGATCACTTGAGCCTAGGTGTTCAAGAAGTGAGACCCCCACCTCTAAATCTTTCTTCAAAACTCCGGCGGTGCCTGTGGCTCAAGTGGCTAAGGTGCCAGCCACATACACCTAAGGTGGTGGGTTCGAATCCAGCC